TTCCGATTTTCGGACGCCTCAGATGTCGATAAATAACTCTAGCGTTCTCTCGAAGGAGGAATGTCGACTGGAAGGACGTCCACTAGGACTGGATCACGTTACGTACTTTCGGCTTTGTGCCATATCTAAACCATGCCAAAATAAATATTGTCTAACTAGCTTTATATAATTGAATATTACTGGAACAATTCTTTAAGCGCGAGTATGATACCCAAAACACCTTAATAATTTTCCTTTATATATATATATATATATATATATATATATATATATATATATATATATATATATACAAAAATATGAATGGTTTAAATAAATATTTTAAAGTCCAATAACCAACAATTACTATTCTTAAAAGAGTGCTCAATACAGAGTAGACCAGATATAAATAAATTTATTTAAAAATTATAACATAAATATGTTCTATAAAATAATAAAAATAGCCATTTTGTTTCAACACTTCTGAAACTATATCAAAATGATGATGTTAGGTAACAATAATTTCCCCTTGCGAAGGATCGTTAATTAATTTGAAACTGTTAAAATCATTTATTTTTTTTTCAACATCATTTGATAAGAAATAATGAGGTAGTTGAAACTAAAATGGCTAAATTGTAGTTGATTTTTTATATTATTTTTATAATTTTAAATAAATAATTATATATATATATATATATATATATATATATGGTTTTCATTTACTAGTCATCCACCGCTGGCGAGTATTGTTTTTTTGTTGATGTTATCAAGATTACCGTTTCATTTCAACCTCCGTTTTGATTATTCCTCATCCAGTAATAATTCTAGAATACAAAATTTTTTTAATATTTATCGAAAGATATCCTTAAAGCATTGGGAAAAGTATGAATCCACCTCTTATACTCCGACCTGTGGGTTAATTAATAAGGCTTGTATCACTACATCATCATTATCTAGGAAGAAAAAGTTCTTACAATCTACAAATTTTTTCTGGCTTTAAATAACCTGCAGAGGGTTGATAAACTGTAGAAAATGAATCAATCAATCAAAAGACATAACAATGTATATTTCTCCAGTTTCTTTGTGTTATATACCGTACCTATGAACACTAATGGGTATGTCCCAATCCTCATAGATACTTTGGACACTACTGTAAGTAGGAGGTAATCTGCTGTAGTCCACCACTAGCAGTGGTTTACCTACTTCACGCCGCTGGCGAGTATTGTATTTTGTTGATGTTATAAAGATTATCATTTCACTTCCAACCTTTGTTTTGGTTATTCCTCATTCCGTAACCCTTTCTAGGTTAGAACAATATATATAGGTATTAATGTGGATAAATCAAATATCTAGTTGAGCTGCCATCTTTATAAAACAATTTCAAATTACTTTATCGCATTACGTGTTCCAAAATTAAAAAATATCCATTATGAAATAACAAAATATACACAGATTAAACCTGAATTGAAAATATAAATAGGATGTCTATTGAGGACAACATCTATTATTTATATTTTTGTTAGTTGATAATTGGTATTTTCTGATCCTTTAAGTATCTGTTTTCGATTTTCTACTTTAGCTTCAATATTTCAAATACATGCAAAACGTTAGAAATGTTTCCATTTGACTGATAGAAAGCTAAATATTTTTATTTGATATTGTTATATATAGTGGTTTACCTACTTCACGCCGCTGGCGAGTATTGTATTTTGTTGATGTTATAAAGATTACCATTTCGTTTCCAACCACCGTTTTGGTTTTTCCTCATTCAGTAACCATTTCTAGGTTACAACATCAACCCTTTGAAAGTTAATTACGACCAGAAAATATTTGTAGATTATAAAAATTTATTTTGAGTTAATAATGATTTAGCGCTACAAGTCTTACTAATTAACCCATAGTTGGAGGGAAAAGAGGTGAATTCATACCATTCCCAAGAGTATTTGCGCGTACGAGGATATAACGAACCCAACTGGAATTGGAACTCGGCTCACCAATTAACAAATTCCGAACCATTATCCATTACGCCACCTGCACATCCAATCTTACACCACCTGGTATTCCCAAACGGTCACCCATCTAGTTACTGATAACGAGTGCGTTGCTTAACTTTTCTGATCGTACAGGAATTGGTTTTTCAATGTGATATGACTGTAAGTCTTGGGAAGTTGAGTTGGATCATTCTATCCAATCTATGAGACCGGACATGCTAATATATATATATAGACACACGTGGTGTAACCGCAAAATTCTCTAATTGTTAGATTAAGCTCTAAAGCATTGGGTCTTAGAAATAGTTAAAGGTGCCTTACTGGAATTTTCCGAGGTTTTTATAACACTATTGGACTTTACTTTGAGCAATAAGAATGAATAATTACTCTCCAAGCTTAACAGAAGAATCGTGATGAAATCGATCATAAGTGAAAATGGCATGTTCATCATATGAAATGAAATGGTAATCTTTATAACATCAACAAAATAAAATACTCGCCAGTGGCGTGAAGTAGGTAAACCACTGCTGGTAGTGGACTGCTTAGATAGCATATTAATCCCGATTACAATCGTGTCCAAGGTAATTATGAGGATTGGGACATACCCATTAGTGTTCATAGGTACGGTATATAACACAAAGAAACTGGAGAAATATACATTATGTCTTTTGATTCATTGATTGATTCATTCATTCATTTTCTACAGTTTATCAACCCTCTGCAAGTTATTTAAAGCCAGAACATATATGTAGATTGTAAGAACTTTTTCTTTCAGGATAATAATAATGTAGTGATACAAGCCTTATTAATTAACCCACAGGTCGAGGTATAAGAGAGGGATTCATACTTTTCCCAATGCTTTAAGGATATCTTTCGATAAATATTTTTCAAAGTTTTATAACCTAGAAAGGGTTACTGGATGAGGAATAATCAAAACTGAGGTTGGAAATGAAACGGTAATCTTGATAACATCAACTAAATAAAATACTCGCCAGCGGCGTGAATTAGGTAAACCACTGCTAGTGGTGGACTACTTAGACAGTATCTTTCCTCCACTTACAATAGTGTCCAACGTATTTATAAGGATTAGGACATGCTTATTAGTGCCCATAGGTACGGTATATAACAGTTGATAAACCGTATAAAACGAATCAATCAATCAACTTCCAAAATATTCATTTTTTTTAAATTTCGTAATGTCCTGTGAGTGTTAATTTCTCTAAGCCCTCTTTCTTTAATATATCGTAGAACTTTCATGTTTCGTTCTGGTTGTAAATATCAGTTTCCTTGTTCCGATTTTCTTTAAAACCTCGTCTTTGCTTACATACACTCCCCATGTTTTTCTCAGTAGCCTTCTGTAGAACCCCATCTCTGTCAATTCAATTTTTTTCTTCCCCTGTGATGAGACTATCCAGCATTCACTGCGATGTAGGGCATTAGATGTTACGTAGGTATTGCACATTCAGAATATGGTGTTAAATACTAAACTCTTTAAATGCATCAGTGTATGGCCCATTTATGACACATTTAGTAAAGGAGATAAGGGAATTGAACATAGAATAGGCTGCGCTAGAAGTAGTTTCACCCAACACCACCAATTGCTACAGAACCAAAACATCAACTGGAGGCTTAAATAGACTCGTGATTTTCATATGGATCTCGTGCCTGGCGCCAAACTCGTTCAAAAATATCGAACATGTCAGCTGTATACAACCACCAACCAATGGAATCCTGTAGATCTTAGCGAGGTCCATCCTTTTTCGAAGCTTGGGTACTGGCGCTGGAGAATCCCAACCAAAGAACTGTACCAAATAACAGAATCCACATCACTTGAAAATTTCCAACATCATCATCAGCAGCAAATAAAATTTGTAAAAGTATTTTTGATACACCCTCTATATATAGATATTAGCAGACTGATAGATACACGTCATGCCACTCACATAGTAGCAAGCCACCTATATTCCATCGGTGAGAAGTAAGTCCCGCTAGAGTAGCTTCTTTCCCCAAACCACTGCCATGTGGAACCGATACTCAACAGGATATTTCCTCGATCATTACAATCTTAACCTATTCAAGGCTGGGGTAAACCGTTATCTCCCTCACCTATGCACACAAATGGCCTCCTAATCTAAATGTACCTCGAATGGTCCCCGATCCTCGTAAAGGGTGATTCGCACAGTAAAAAAAATACAAGGTGCATCAATATATATTTTTACAAACTTTGGAGGCGGCTTCCTCACACCAAAACAAGGAAAAAAGTCCTTATAAACATATGTACAACTAATGTTTATTCATTAGTTGTAAATGCAATAAATTAATAATTTGTATATGTATATGTACAAATATCTGTTTCCTCTAACTATATATATATATATATATATATATATATGATTCATGAAAGAAGACAGAAAAGGTACTGCGATTAAGTTTTTTATTTAAATTTTCTTGTGTTCGAACAAGAGCTTTCTTTTTTGAAACTGTTCCAATGTTCTATAATTCCGAGCGCTTTCAACTATACTTTTAGCCATTATCAAGGATGGTTTTATTTATTTTTATTAGACTTTTTATTCGAGTCATTTGGGGTAGTGCATTTTTTTTATTATAAGTGTAGATTCATTTTGTTTATAGTTAATGTGCATTTGGTTTTTGTAGAAAATATTTGTTACTTTTGACACTATATATATCATTATTCATTTCAAAATATGATTCCAACGCTACATAAGAGTTTTCATGTTTCAAAACAAGAGCGAGTTCTTTCCTATTTTCTATATATTTTTACACATACACACACAAACACACCCACACACATACACACACACACACACATATATATATATATATATATATATATATATAAAGAAAGAGAGAAATTTCAGAAAGAGAGAAATGAAGATCTTTCTATTTTCTATTTTAATTTTTACACACACACACACACACACACACACACACACACACACACACACATATATATATATATATATATATATATATATATCCAGAAGAGAGAGAGTGAGAGAATGAAGATAATTAGATAAGATAGATAGATAGAAGATAATTAATAGATAGATAGATAGATAGATATATAGATAGATAGATAGATAGATAGATAGATAGATAAGATAAATAATTAGATATAAATATATAGATATATAGATAGATAGATATATTTAGATAGATAGATAGATTCTTTTTTAAAAATGTGAGGATAGATTCGGGAAAAGAAAAGGGCAAGTTCAAAGAAAACAATGCCCATAAAAGGCCGAAACCTAAAAGAAAAGACGAAAGAAAGTTTCCTGTCCCTGACCATCTACTGACCAATCTGGTCTGACATCTCAGGCCAACTGCCAAATCCTATCTTCCAATATTCACCGGTAACTTTTCATATCAAATAATAAAGTGTCGCTCCGTTTTGACATCCGCCATTTGACATTCAACTCATCTTCGCGGTGTTGTAGCCGCGCATTTTCTGCCTATCTTCTACAACTACGTTTTTTATTATCTCGTTCTGCCCGTTTATATTTTATATCTGAAGCTGTCCAACTTGATATCTGGCAGTCAATACAGATTTGCTTCCCGCGAATTTTATTAAATGGAGGGGGTCACCTTTCACCGTTTTGTGTGCGCCCCCACCTCCTGGCTTTGCCTTTTCCTGCATGGCTCGAGGGGATAAATCTATTAATTCACTCTTCTAACAACTGCAAACAAATTACTATTGTCTTATCCTCACTTGATTTCATTCCTTAAAAACTGATAAACAGTGATAACAAAACTATGTGCTTTACTAATACTAAGTAGTAGAAATTTCCTTGCCAAGTTCTCCATATTCCACACAGTTCGTCAGCAGAGCGGTCAAATAAAATATATTCATGGTTACTTAAATTAAAAAGGAAAAAGATCTCTCGTCAGAGTATTTCTTGCACATTTAAAAGTCTACCATTCGGCTGTGCATTGAATACTGCTGCCATATCTGGTCTGGTGCTCCTATTATTTATCTCGGGGTTCTTGACAAAATCCAAAGAAGGATCTGCAATGTAATCGATCCTGACTTGGCATCTCAACTTCAGTCATTTTCTCATCGAGGTGGGGTGCCTGGCTTCCCCTCTGTCTTTTCATGGCAAATGATATGACGGGGTTTATTTTCCCTGGCATCCCAACTGCATGAATTTAAGCATGCTACTACATTGGCATGCCACCCGTATTCTGTTGAAATTAATAAATGCATCTGCCATTTCTACTCCAACAGTTTCTTTTCTCGCACTTCCTACCTGTGGAACTCCTTTCCGTTTACTTGCTTCCCTGATAAATAGAACCTTCAAAAATTTAAATGCAACGTCAATTGCCATTTTTTATCTTCTTGAATTTCTGAGATCAGGTATTATATACACTATTTACATTATTCTGACTATTGTCCTCATCTTTGACGTCATATTTATTACAACGTTTCGGCCTTTCCGTATCTGATTATATTTCTGAGATGAGGTATTATATACACTATTTACATTATTCTGACTATTGTCCTCATCTTTGACGCCATATTTATTACAACGTTTCGGCCTTTCCGTATCTGATTATATTTCTGAGATGAGGTATTATGTACACTATTTACATTATTCGAACTATTGTCCTCATCTTTGACGCCATATTTATTACAACGTTTCGGCTGTTGTACGCTCCGGCCTTCTTCAGGTGGTTGGAATCTAGAACTGAACCCTTTATTTCACTCACTGGGGTAGACTGTTCTAGTTCTACGTACCATGTTTAATCGATGTCAGTTATCAGTTATCTCCTATTAATTCCCCTCTCCAAGTTCACCACTGCCTTAAGCCTTAACCGAGTATTGTCCTTGATGACACATGGCACAGTGGAGAAAGGCGTTAGCTAGATCGAGTGACAGGACCCAAAAGAGTGTGAGTTCAATTACCGCTTAAGGCAGTGAAGACAACTGACATCCATTAAACATGGCACGTGGAACTAGAACAGTCTGCCCCAGTGAGCGAAGTAAAGGGTTCAGTTCGACATTCCAACCACCTGAAGAAGGCCGGAGCGTACAAAAATTCTACTCCAACAGTTTCTTTTCTGGCACTACCTGCCTGTGGAACCTATGGAACCTACATACTTGTGGCATTCCCGCCTTGCCCGTGGAACTCACTTCCTTTTGCTTGATTCCCTGATAAATATAATCTTCAAAAATTGAAATGCAACGTCAAGAGGTGTCTTCTATTTTCTTGAATCCCGTTCATCTTTCCTCAGTCCTCCCTATATTCAGTCTCTTTTCTCAATTTCACTTCGTATAACCCTCTACATACGAGGCTTTAAATAACCTGCAAAAGGTTGATAATCCGTAGAAAACGAATCAATCAAATACTGATTAGCGACACAGACACATCTTTTAGATTTATTGAAATTCTCTGGAATAGAAATGTATAGAAACTACTGTAGCCACAAAGTGAGGGATCAGTTTATATATTCAATTTAATACAGAATTGATCCCCCACTTTATATCCACATCATAATTTATTGTTTGTTTGTCAAATTCTGATTATGTAGGAATCCCCCCAGTATGGGTTAATTAGTAAGACTTGTATTATTAAATCATTATCATCTCCCAAAAGAATTCTTACAATCTAAATATATTTTATGGCTTTAAATAAACTGCATAAGGTTGATAAGCCGTAACAAACGAAATAATCATGCAAAAGTGCTAGTTAGAATGTGGCCATCGCAAGTTGTTTGTAACATAAGCGCTTTCCTTAGACTTAGTGTGCCCGGACGATGTAGATTAACTTCGCTAAATAAATACCAGCATCTGATATTTATGCATAATAAATTTTTAGGCGAAGGTTCCTTCGGCAAATTTCCACAAACTCTTGTCGGCGCGAATATCTACATATAAATATGGCGACAGAATATCGAAACGAAAAAACTCGCCATAGAAAGAAATCAGATATCTTCCAATGAACTGAATACGAAATGAGCTGAAGGTCGCCCGTGCCTTCAGTGGTCGGCAATTCATTATATTTGTCTTCTTCCATGTGCCGTGTCCCTTCAGGATATTGGCGATCATGACCACAATTTCCTTCACTTCGTAACTCTTAGTAAATTTTATCGTTTCGCTATCTTTCCTAAACCCTGTTCTGTTATCTATCTACACAAGCTCGTTAGGTAGATTATCCCCAGTTTTCCTTTTTTTTAAAATATATGAATCTGTCCTGTGTAGTGTTAAATTTAAAAATATATCTTTCTTCATGATATGCCGTAGAAAGTTCTGTAGTATCACAGATTTTACATGCATTTATTTACATAACAAATACTTATTGTTCAGTGGTGTTCTTGTCATTTTTTCTGAATCGAACATATATATTACAGTGAATATTTCAGTGGTAATTAATTATATTATCTTATACACACACACACACACACACACACATATATATATATATATATATATATATATATATATATATATATATGAGAGGACATATATAATATATAATCTATAGGGTGTTCCAAAGTCGCATTACCATTGATAACCTTGTAAATTTTATATTTATTTACCAAATAGAATCATGTTTTTCTCGCGAGAAAAATAACAGCATATGTGGCCTGACGATTGCATATAGCATGAAACAGACAGTCGCCTCTAAGTGTTGACTTCTATGTTCACTTTTATATTTACACACGCTCTATCTCTGATATTGAGCGCTTTATTCCATAAATATAGCACACCTTAAGACTATATTTCTTTATATATATATATATATATATATATAGCCGTGCCAATACGTAGAACACATGGCCTGATTTTCGCCGCTTGATGTTGACCTCAGTGCCCAATTTTAAATTTACACACTTTACCATAATTATAGCATACCTTGAAACTATATTTTTTCATATATATATATATATATATATATATATATATATATACACCCAACACGCCCCTACCTAGTTTAAACAATCCGCCCTGGCTGTTACCATGGAAATTTTGATTTCAATTATGAATATACTATTAAAACACGTAAATTTCAGAAATAAGTTATTCCAAAAAACATTTCGCTTGAAGATGGAACAGAGCTTACTTTAATTCAATTTAATTCAAATAATTATATTGAAGTTTTCGGCTCTTGTTTTGAAACATGACACCTCTTATGTCGCGAGTTGGAATCATATTTTTAAATAAATAATTATACTTATGCTCTACTTTTGTATCGAGCACTATTTTTTTAAAATAATAACAAAAATACTTAGGAACTTTGGATTATTTACCTAACCAGTTCCTTCCTATTTTCTATATATTTTCACACACACACACACACACACACACACACACACATATATATATATATATATATATATATATATATATATATATACCTCACCTATAAACACTAAAGGGTATGTTCCAATCCTCATAAATACGTTGGACACTATTGTAATCGGGGTTAAGATACTGTCTAAGTAGTCCATCACTAGCAGCGGTTTACCTACTTCACGCCGCTGGCGAGTATTTTATTTTGTATTTTGTTAACCTTATAAAGATTACCATTTCATTTCCAACCTATGTATTGGTTATTCCTCATTCAGTAACCCTTTCTAGGTTACAACAATATATATATATATATATATATATATATATATATATATATATACCTTTTATACCTTTTGTTTTGAAAAGCCTCGGTAGGGAACTTTTCCTTAGGAAGTGAAATAGCCATTCATATGGCGTATTGAGTTTCATTATATCTATCTATCTATCTATCTATCTATCTATGCGTGTGCGTGTGTGTGTGATGTGTGTGTGTGTGATGTGTGTGTGTGTGTGTGTGTAAAAATTAGGAGATCAGTCTATTACATTACCAGGTTTCAACCTTTAGTTATCCTCTGGTGATATAGGCCAAATAATTTTAACGCTTTATTATTCATAACATAAACACAAAACATAGATAGATAGATAGATAGATAGATAGATAGATAGATAGATAGATAATGAACAGACTGGGATAGATGAGATTCTCCAACCAGCCTTCTTTCAAATGTTTCCTTCTTCTACATTGGTCGCCAATGAAGTTTGGAGAACCCACTCTGTCCTTCTATTTAGCCTATAGATGTAGGAATACAGATTCATGCTTTTTTCCAACGGCAATCGTGCGAAGTGAACGAAACGAACGCGTTCAGAATTTGAACTCGGAACACCGGTTCCACTTACCGCTACAAGATCTTCCTCAAATATATGTACAAACTACTATTTAATGATCAATATATTCGAATATTTTACTTATGTATTTATATGTGTGTGCGTGAATGTATTTATATGTGTATTTGTGTGTGTATCTGTATGTGTTTATGTATGTGTATTTCTGTCTTTTTGTGTGTCTGAGTGTGTCTGTATGCGAGTGTATCTGTATGTGTGTTTGTTTGCATTTGTATGTTTGTGTGTGTTTTATGCAGGTGTGGTGTTTGTATGTGCTTGTGTCTATGCGTCTGTACATGTGTGTGTGTGTGTGTGTTTTATGCGAGTGTGGTGTTTGTATGTGCGTGTATCTATGTGTCTGTACATGTCTGTGTTTGTGTGTGCGCACGTGTGTGTGTGTGTGTTAGTAATGCACACATTGAAAAAACGGCTTACGCATCCACACAAAAAGTATTAAAAAAATACAATTTTTTCTCCTGTAATTTATCTGGCAGAGATTTCCTTTTCTTTTTTTATTTATTTACTTGACAGCACTTTTTTCTCCTCTTCTTATCTTTTGGGGAAAGATGGGAAGAAGTTTTCAATAAAAGTCATTTTCTTTATTGAGTATTTAAAGAAAACAAAAATTGAAATTTTCCTGACAAAGAAAGTAATTGGATCCAAATGTCTCCGAATAGTCTTTTGTAGTTGGGTGTTGACGCCGAAGAAATTTCATCGACACTATTTCTCTGCTCGCTTTCTTACAGACGCCATCTTAAAAATGGTTGAAATAGTGCAATAAAGAATGATTCCACTTCTTTTCATTTATATTTTTCTTGTTACTTTAAAATCTTGTCTTTTTAGCCTTGCAAAATCATTTCTTTCTACTTTTTTTTTCACAAATTTCTTTTCATCACTTCTTTTCTGCATTTCGTACTTTTTTTTTCTTTGTTTATTAACTTTGCTTTTATATGTACACTTCGTTTTCTCTTTGCCACCATATACGATCCTCTCTGAGTTCCCATACCATTGTAATCCTGAGAAGATTATGCTAAAGGAGGGGGTACTGAAAAGTTCTCGGGTCTACCAAGAAAGGATCTCCAAAAATTCTGATACTTGGTCATAAAGTTAGACCTAGCAATTGATTCAGTATACAGGTATACCTCACCCTACCTCATTAAATGGTTTCCAGTTGAAAAAAACACACACTATAAACCGGAAATAAGCATCCCCATTGCCTATTACAGTATTTGTGATATGTACGTACAGTATTCTAAATAAAATAATTTTCACATTATCTTCCAGCAATATAGCCTCACGATTAGCATTAGCACTTGCACTGTGACTTTTCTTTGGAGCCATGGGCAAAAAATGTATTTTAAATCACAATTGAAATGTAACTGAAAGAACGTTATCGGCAGAGCACAGATGTAAACATATCTGAATTCAAAATCGGTGTTGGAGCGGAAAACAACACACGAGTGCCGCCTGCCTGCAGGAATCTGAAACAAGAACATTTGCGGAACATACTTTATTACGCTATTTTTGTTTTTGATGATTATATATATATATATATATATATATATATATATATATATATATATATATATATATATAATCAAGTGGATAAATATAGGTAAATATACGAGCAAGCGTTCTATACAAATACATATATATACCGTATAGTTTATAAATATAAATGACAATAGCAAAATTGTAGTAGTTGCCGACGCGTTTCGTCCAATGTCGACTTTCTCAAGGCAAAAATCGAAATGAATGTATTTAAACAAAATAACTAATAATAACAAAAACATAATGTCCTTAGCAACTGGAAGAATTTAGAGAACGCTATTTTCATACTGTTAACTGAAAATTACGTTATTATTAGAATTAACTTAAGTATTATGATTCCTCAGAAAATTCCAATATGGCGTAGACAAACGACGATTCAGTACAACGAATTCGGGAAGCAATGTCAGCCTACAATAGCGTAATCAAATTTGTTATTTGTTTAGTATAAGATTTAAACAAGCCGAGAAACAAAATAAATATTTGTAAGAAGTATGTAATGATACTTTTCTGCTTCTAGTCGGTATCGGATATGACTCTGATATTTCTTTGAATGGGAATGAAGCATAAATCAGAATATAGCCAGCCTGGTTGATGGATTCAATATCTGGACCAATCAGGTGAGAGAAATATTAGGGTGTGTAAATATTTGCTTCTTTTTACAGGCCTTTACTCTAAAGCTTATGTCATGTACACGTCTAAATACTATATGATATATAGGATGATTTTGCAACATGTCAATATTCGTTGGGTTATTTGGTACATAAACGAGAATTATTATTATTATTATTATTACACTTAAGAGTGTCGTAGTCTTCAGGCACTTTCCAAAAGTGCTGCACGCTGGGATCTACCCCTCCAGTCCGATAACAAAAAAATCGACCATGGTGAGATTCGAACCCGGGTCTCTAATTATCAGAACGCGAACGTTCTAACCAATTGGCCAGGTGCCCATATAAACCATACCACAGGTTGACCCAAGCCTTGTGATTGAAATTGGGTGGATGGAACACTTGGGTGACATCGATAGCTGTGCTAGCACGAAGTCACAAGTCATCGTGGCCTAGGGCTTGAGCGTGCTGGACTTGTTCAAATTGTTGATCACGCTAGGTAACACGCTCTTTCCCAGAAACTGTAACTAAGGTCTGCTCGGCATAGTTGCAATATAAATCACAGGTGGGCTCTGTGGTTCTTGAATAAACATAAATGCGCCTGAAGATTGGCTAGCCACCCTAGTAGAGAGGTATCCTCGAATACGAGTAACCAGCTATACAGAGTCGTAGTGGAGGAGCTTGCACATCTCTAGGAACCCGAATACAATGCCTTCTGGTGGGGTCACCTATGGCGGTAAGGAATCAGGGAAGGAACCAGACTAAGCACGATCCAACGCCCGGTGGGTAGATGGTCTAGGCGACGTTCTATGAATGAGAACATGTTGCCATCTCGGTGCAAGATGTCATCATGAACCTGCCTGTCAATCCATGCTTTGCAGAAGCGGATGGTGTCAGCTGAAGCGTGTGAGACGTTGAGTGGCGACCCATAGACAATTCGCAGCCAAGGCTTTTATGCTCAAAGTCTTTCTGAAGACAGAAATCGACCCGGTTAATTGGGAGATGGAAGCTGCTGAAAGAACCAATTGGAAAAGAGCAGACCACGAAAAAAACAACATCCTTCGAAAATACGACAAATAGAAAAGAGGAAAAAAGCCTAAAGAAAAGCCATATGTCCCCATTGCCTGAACCCTCCTACCCAACCATGCGGTGGCTGAGGACATCTCTTCAGCAGAGAGGCACATTTCACACAGAAGAAAATGATGATGAGCACCACAATACTCGGCAACGAGTTTCGCTAACAACGACGACAACACTTAAGCGAATTAAGAAAAGAAAAACAAAGGAAAAGAAATAAAAACAGACAAACCCTGTGAAACAACATGGCAAGTCAATTCTATCACAAATTCAAAGATAAACATTACGATTTCTACAGAAGGTGGCAACTGTATTGATTCACATTAAATATACGCCTCCCAATGTGCCAAATATGACTTGATTTATATGCGTTGCACAACGGAAAATAAAACAAAAGATTCAATGGACACAGATGTCAGAAACGACAATGCGACATCAGCGGAGTCTGCGGAACAATTTATTACAAACAACTGTAATTTCGACAAGAATATTCAGGCCGACATTCTGAAAAATGATTCCGAATCTACTGACCTTTTGGACCTTAAAATGCCTGAGGATAGTTACGTATGTAAATTACTAATTTCCCGCTCCGGAAGAATAAACAGAATGACAGGAGAGTTCCATAAGATTTATACGAAGCTCTTTGATTAATTCTTCTTAGTAACTCATCAACTAACAGAAAATTCCAAGATGAACAACATCACCATCATATTAAGCACGTTTCATTCGTTTTGACGCGTTGATTAGCAAAGCAGCCGATTTTTCATTACAAGACAAGCAGCGAAATTTCTTTTCTTAAGTCCCCCAAGTCACAATGGGGTGGTTTCCTGTTGAACCCTTCGCTGGTCAAGATAAACTTTACTTGTGTACCTAGTTAATGTGAACAAGTGTCGTTCCCGGCCTGTTCCCGACTTCTCTCTACGAGAAACCAACCTCCACAGTTTGATTTGGCTCGCGTTTTTCATCTCGACTGGGTCAGTTTTTTTGAATTTTCTATTGCCCATAATTCTCTTTTTTATCCTTCCCCCTTCCTTGGAAAGAGAGAGCCTCTCGATTTTGTATGAAGACGGAATACAGCACCAAATTTTATTTTTGAGGGGTAGACGAGACTTTCTAACATCTTTCTTTTTTCAGTTTGTTTTCGGGGGCATCACCCACCCCCTCCATCATTTCATAACATTGATAGAATTTTTATACAATTTTACATATTGAAATTTTAAGTAATGGGGTGTTTTTCAGTAGGGGCCCTGTGTGTGAGATGAATTTTGGTGTATGTTGGAGTGAATGGTGATAGAAAGATTCTTATGGAGAATGAGTAAATTGTAACGTATGTATGGGTCGTGAATCTGATTAGCTAGGTATAGGATAGTGTCGACCATCTTTGACCCATCTCCCCACTTTTTCAGTCTTGTGTCATAATTACTGTATTCAAACAATATTAAATCGGAGACAAGTAACAAAGACTCACCATTTTTGTAGATTTATATATTTTTATACTTGAAATTTAAAAAAATATAACTTGAAGAAGTCAGACCAACTGTCGAAATATTGATTAACATTTTCAAACT